GCCCCTTGCTCTTTGCGTACGGCCTTCTCGAAGCCATGCCTGACAACACCTAACCACAGTGTCTACACTTCTTTGCACTCTAACTGCAATTGCCCGAAAAGAAAGTCCAGCTTCCCGAAGTCCCACTATACGGCCCCTATCAAACTCACTAAGTTGACGAAATCGTACAGGTCTCCGTACTCTAGGCATTGTAACCGATCGTAAAGGATGTCAAGAACCAAAATCCGCCAACGTAGATTCTTTACTGCGGCTGAAATATTCATTTTTAGAGCGTTAGTGAATTAAAAAAAGCAGTATAAAAACCGGAATGTCCAACTGATAAGGCTAAACATTTTTTCACTTGTTATTTACAGTAAGATAAATACATTCACCAACTTTTAAAATAAAACCATTTAAACTGGGTGTTCGGATTTATATGTCACTTAGTATATACAAACAGCCCCAATATGACCAAATTCGAAAACTCACTTTTTTTTGGTTCTATGCCATTTCCATGTCTTTCCCATAATTTTATTTGCATTTAAATACAAAATACGGCTCGTCGGTTGTACAAATAAATATCACTAAATGTCTTTAGTGGAACAAAAATATAATTTGCAATCAAATATCAAGTAGTTTGAAAATGCTTGACCTCTAGTCGTGAAGAGCAATAAAAAAAATCAAGTTGGGTCAACCATTAACGTTTCAAGTTGGATTTTATTTTCAAGTCAAGTAGCTTATAAAAATATCAAGTTACTTGACTTGGTGAGTCCCTAACACAAATGTTGTAACGAAGAGGAAATCGTAGACAAACGTTCCTTGAAAGACCATTACAAATTTTGTTCATGTTCAGAATATTCCGTTCAGAGTGTTCTGAGTCCATGTGTATCTGTTTATTGGATCGATGACAACTACCTTAGTAGCTCCAGACAACAGCTGTGGTTTGCGTTTGGACTCTGAGTGCTTTGGAAGAATTTATAATATGACACATAACTTACTTAAGGGACTACAACAAACAACAGGCGCAGTTACGTTATAGTCAAGCGGATTCGCACAACAACCCTCTGTTGCGTCAGCAGACTAAACAGTCGAGCAAGTTCGCAAGCACATAAGACCGCGGCCTGCACTGTGAACAAAATTAAATCGTGCAATTCCAGGTACAACCAAAATTACACACACAAAGCTCTAAGTTATTTTTTCGATCAATATAAAATTACTGAATACTAGTCAACAATGCCAAGGCACCCATTCAACTACCTCATCTGTGTTCTTTCCCGCTCTGACGGAAAATGAATAGAATAGAATGAGACGTGACATATCCTTGTGTAAGATGCTTGGTTTGTAACTACCCAGCTGTCATATCAGTGTGAAAATCCATTCTGGGGAGCATTCGCCTTCAATGGCTATTACAAGGAAAACTCCACTAGAAGTCTCGTAGCAGCACTTTCTTCAATAGTTTGAGGCAGCTGAAGTCCAGTCCAGTCTAGATTTTAGGTGACCTTCATATACGAAATACACGGAATAATCATAAATCAGTGTTTGGGTTAGTTTCTATCATTACGACTTAAATCTTGTCTTTTCACGAACTGGCATTTCATGTAGGTACGGTACTACAATACCATTTTCTTTTCGAAGAGAATCAGCGCTCGTATGCAACATTTTTAGTTCCTGCGCCACTGGCGAGGTAGTATTGTATTTGTGAAAAATTTCGACATTGAGATATTTTTTGATATCATATGACATGTACATCACGAACAACCGTGTCGCCCACTTCCGTCAGTTTGTCTGTCTGTCTGTCCACGAATCCTTGACACTGCTATAACTTGGAAAATACGGGTTGACGAAATTTTTACACTGCTTTATAGTTTTTGGAAATCGATCCAGCGGCGGCAGAGCTACTGACAAAAAGGAAACCATAAATATAGATCAAACCTCATGTTTTTGACGTTTCAGGGGTCCCGATCATTTTTAGAAAACTTTTTGTATGGGGTTAAAAATTGATATTTGGGATTGTAGGGGGTGGGGGAGGATACATCTCAATTTTTTGATGTTGATATACTTATATGGCTCCAGCTCTTCGCACCTATTAGACAAATTTAACTCATCATAGGTTTCCCCGTACTTAGAATGATTGAGAAGTATTTCCAGCCGGCACGTTTCTATAATACGTGTTTTGTGGCCCAGCCAATGCATGTGCGTCTCAGTCGACCACCGAGTTTCGATCATGTCCGACTGTAGGAATTTTTCTCAGGAAGAGAAGGAACGCCATCAGATCAGATAACTTTGGGTGAAAGCATTCAAAACCTTTTGTAATACTCGTATATGTTCGCAGCTAACTTTTTTCTCAGAGGGGCTAACTTGTGTGCAGAGTGCAGAGTCAACCTACTTGACGCCATTTTTATGAAAACTGAAAGTCACCCTTGCAGCTATAATATCTTATGTGTTTGTGGTTTGTCAGTGTAGTAAAGGATGGTTTCTTTTTTAAATTGGTATTAAAACTACATTCTTCAATAATATGTAACACTCGATACTTTATTCAAAGGAATTTCAGTTAAATGGCTGTTGCGGCTGGCCTTGCAGTAGTCCATCCTCTTAACCCAATTTTGAAGCACATTTTGGATAGTTTGTGGGTCTATTTCATCAACAGCTCGACAGATATTTTCCTTAAGAACATCATTTGTTTGAGGACCGTTAGTGTAACAGCGGTCCTCTACAGTGCCCCATAGAAAGTACTCCATGGGCGTCAAATCACAGTTGCGGGCTGGAAAATGAACGTCTCCAAAACGGCTGATAACGCGATGACCGATCTTAGTGTGTCAAAGATCGATTGTGTCACGGCTGGTGTGGCATGTTGCCCCATCCTGCTGGTACCAGAGATTGTGCAAGCACATGTCATCTAATAGTGGTCACAAAAAACTCCTCAACATGTCTCTATAGCGTTCACCGTTTACCGTCACGCTGTTACCATTTTCATCTTAAAAAAAGTAGGGACCAATAATCTCACCACTCCAAAAGCCACACCAAACAGTTACTCTTTTTGGATGCATTGGTTTTTCTATAACGATATTTGGTTTTCCAGAACCCCAAATCCTACAGTTCTGCTTGTTAACGTAACCTCCCAGATGGAAATGGGCTTCGTCCGAAAACATGATTTGGCGACCAAAATTGACGTCCGTTTCCAATTGATTTAGCGCCCACACAGAGAAACGATATCGAAGCAGATGGTCATTTTGTTTCAACTCATGCACAAGTTACACCTTGTAGGGAAATAATCCCAGATCGTTATGCAATATTCTCCCCACAGAAGTGCGACTCATGCCCACATGTTGTGTGACGAGTTGACATTCTTGCGTTTTCACACACACTCTGGGCAAGAGCAGCAATGTTTTCGGCTGTACGTACGGGTCGAACATGCTCATACCTTCTCTTATCCACAAGCAGGCCAGTTTCGCGAACCTTCTTCACGAATTTTCGTATGCCATTTGCGGACGGAGCTTCATTCCGACCGAATAGTCTTCTCGATTTTCGCAAAGTTTTTGCACAGCACTCACTTTGAAAATAGTTTTTCAATATTTCCCACCTTTATTCAAGGTTAAAACGATCGAGAACTGTCAAAATAATACCAACTCAAAAAAACTAACTCATGGCTCACCCTTTATAATAATTCAAGGGATGTCTATTTTTTTCAGGCATTTGTCTAATGTTACGGAAAACATAATACATATACAATACGGATTTGCAGTCCGGAAACTGAGAGAAGACATCAAAAAATTTTTTACCTGAAATTCAAAAATTCTCACTATTGCTAATTTCCTTCGGTTGTGACGGGAATATAAATCCATATGTTCCTGACTCAAAAAATGGACTTTACAATGTAATAATGATTTTATTGATTTGGATTGGATTTGGAATTCCTACTATTTTTGCAAGGTCAAATCCGGTCAGTCACGCAATGCACTATGCCAAGAATGATATTTATGACAGATGACATAGAAATGCGACAAATACGTAAATATATGGCATGTACCCACCTTACTATCAATATGAAAAATGACAACGACTTCCTATATCTACGTAAATAAATAACGAATCCAGTCAATAAACGTATATGAGTGTGCTCTTGAAAGTCGGCTAATTGGACGATATATTTTAAGGAAAAGGAACGGTACAGACGTGAATAAACTTGGCGAATGGCGTAAATGTTATTGGTTCTATTAGCATTCTATAACAGCGTTGATATCTTAAGGCTAACAAATTGATAGCTTACGTATACGGTAGCTGTAAAATCCAAAACGTATGTAGAGTGGCTCGAACAACGTCGATGAGATCGATAAGTTTGCTGTATCTATTCGAAAATCAACTTTCAAATGTTTTTCACTTCTGTAAAATTGTTCATTATATCTAACAGCGTATATTTTTAACTAATTGTATTGTTTTTGATAGCATATACCGGATGTTTGGGATCTTGGAAACAGTAACAGATACGAAGGTGCTCAAATGGGGCACTGTTGCGTATTTAGCCATCTTATTTTGGAGGTATTTCTATCCCTAATTGCCTTTTCTGGACCACTTTCTCATATTTTATTTTCTTTCTCCCATATTCTACAGATCCTGGTCTATCATTACAATACGGGAATCCAATCTTCTTGACTCAACTTGTGTAGAATCAGAGGAATCCGTTGCATTTAGTGAAATAAATATAAATAAATTTTCACTTACATCACGACATATGTTTTCAAGAAATATTCATGTAGTGATTTTCGTCTATATAAATTTTTCGTATCTAATGAAGATCTCATTAAAAATGATAAACGCAGGTCCTCGTAGTTCCGTGGTTCCATCTAGCATTACCATCTATCATCGCTAGACACACATATACTTATGAAACGTTAAACTGTATGATACATACCTATATACAACTTGATAAATATTAATTTTCTGTAATTTTTTCCTTACACGCAACTTATATGTAATTTAATTTATACATATTCAAGTAGATATGTTTTTATCACATACTTGTACACCTACTCTATGTCATTATACAGTTGTGACACTAAGAGGCAATTTTATATTCACTTACCTATTTTGAAGCAAAAATGAAAAGTAGCTTATTAAGATGATGTTGTATAATAGTTTTAACCTACCTTTTAACCTGTCCGCCTATCTCCAAAGCTGAAAGGAATTGAAAGATCTGATTCATATTTGAATCAATGCACATAACTAAAAAATGTTATGCTATTCTACTTTTAATACTTAAGCTGAGCAAAATATCTAAGCCTATACTATGTACAAATATATACATCACTGAATCTGAATAGTTAACCTAACGATTAGTTAACCTAAAGATCCCTGTGTTATGCTATCTTCTTCTGTATGATTTCCACTTGAGTCTTCAGCTGTTGAGTCCAGTTGGGTATTGTTGTTGTTATTGATGTTGATAGTTTTGCATTTGGTGCAAAAATCGTCTTTTGTTGGTCCACTGAGAAACGGTTTTCTGCATCTGATACACTCTTCTTGAGGATCTCCTGAAAGAGAAAGCATGTTTGAAAAAAGCTGAAAAATATTTGTAAGCTACCATGGCGGTTTTTTGATTAAACAATTTCATTGGTAACTTTATATTTTAGTTTGCTGTTTGAAAAGTGTTTAGGAAGGTCTTGATTCTTTAAATAGAGTCCTAGGTACAGAGGGAGTATTTCAGCTAAACGGAAAACGAGAAAAAGTTGTCCAAAGTTTGGACTTGCAATTTTCATTTACTAAATGGACAGAAACAGAATTTCAGAACTTCATATTTTCAGACTTCGTAATTACTTTATTTATACAGGGTCGTACCAAAAAACCTTTGTATACCAATTTTCACTGTTATACATCAAATATTGTTCGAAATATTTAAAAAAAAAACTATTTTAGAAAGTAAATTTAAACACCCTGTATTTCGGAAGCCACGCATTTTTCGACCCATGTTTATATAGACTTTATGCATTAATTTTAAAAGTTCTATCGAATCTTAAAGTTATGCAACAATAAACTGAAACACCCTGTATAGAGATTGGTGAATTTCGTGGAAGTATAATTGCTACATTTTGAATAAGTAGATATAGCCAACAATAAACAATAACTGATGTAAAAGGTATGAGCCAAATCCCCAGATGCACAGCTTATGTACCAACTGAGTGGTATCTGGGAGACTTATGGCCAACACGCTTTTGAGGTAAAATATTGCTAACCAACATACTAAAGCAAAAAAGTGGTAGCTGTTATATTGGTAATGCATAAAGGACGTACATACACGTTACTAGGCGAAAATGTATCTGCAGCAGCTATTCTTATTATAGTCCCTTACACCTTGGTAACAACATTTTTGTAGATACGTAAAACAAAAATGTTGGATTTTAAGAAGACTGTTATAATACGGCCAAAATTCCCAGTTCTCGGTGCCTAATCTAGATCAATAGATTGTATATTTTTGTTTCGAGTTGGAGACTTCAACAGGCGCAGTGACAACAAACCTCAACATCTCTTCTGCAGTATGCTGATATTTTTAGGAGCTTTAGGTAGGAGCCTCCAACAGCTAAAAGATTATGAAAACGAATATTTTATTCTCAAAAATAAAGTGGAGCATATTTGTGTTATCAAATCCATAGCAGATTAGATTGCATTTTTGTTTTGAGTTGGAGACTTCAACAGACGCATAGACAACAAACCTCAACATCTCTTCTACAGTGTGCCGATATTTTAGGAACTTTAGGTAGGAGCTCCAACAGCTAATAGCTTATGAAAACTAGTATTTCATTCTTGAAAATAGAATTTTGTTTTATCAAATCCATAGCACCTATTTTGAATGATGAATTCATAATATTGTAACACCCTGTATACTGTTGTAGGCAGGTAGGACACAGACAGCTAGTGTATCAAGGACAATGTTTGCACATTGCTATTGACGAGATGTGTTCATTGAAACCGGATGAGCGCTAGGATACTTCTTGTTCGACAAGGTACAGTGTGTTTTGGAAGCATTAAACTGTACCAGATTGTTGTATCCCCAAGCAGTGATAACCTCCAGGTCTCTCGTCAGAGAAGAAGTTGCTGCTAGTCTTTTTTTTCCAGCTCACCGACAGAGATCGGCTTGTCACTCTTAGTACCTGCATGTAGAGCGCTGTCATCAGCAAAGCTGTGGATTGGATTGACCACACAGGAAGGGAGGTCGCTGACATGTAAGAAAAACAATGCCGAAGATAAGAATTATCCCTGGGGAACACCCGCGTTAACGTTGTGGGACGAAGAAGAGAACCCGTCAATTACGACGAATATCTTGCGGTCCGAGAGGAAGCTTTTCTGGAAGGCCATATAATGGGAGTTTGCCTAAGAGGGCAGCACGCCACAGCTGATCGAACGCTTTCGTGATATCAAGAGCAATGACATGAGCCTCACCATAAGACTGAATGAGTTTACCCCACAATTGCGTGCCAGAAACCATAATGTCTGTCGCTAATCAAGCCGCGACGTTCAAGGTACTCCAGAAACTTCCAAATTATGCATATTCCCAGTTTTCTGAGAAAGTGTCGGATTAGTAAGATATCTGGAAGAGACGCGAATGAGCTGGAGCAGGCTCCGTAGCACATCTCTTCAATACAAATGCAAATGCTGTTCTGTGTCCGTCTACAACCTGAATATGCGTCATAAGCGCCTGACTACCAGCTGTGTAGGCATGGCCAGTGATCAAGTTTACACAGTGTCTAGCCGAGCGCTTAGATAGCTAATAGATACAGCACCATAGTTTTGTGCCTAAATTGTGTACCTTTTTATATAAGCGCTTGGCTACCTACGCTACGCCGTAGCGTAGACCGTAGTCTTACAACGCCATTAATAGTCAATACAACACTAGAACAGGGCATGATCTGGGTATACCGACACATAAAGATGCCCTATTCCAAAAATCTCCCGCTTTAGGCTGCACTAAGGTATACAATAATCTGCCGAGTGAGTTGCGGAGAAGCACTAATATCCTTGCAATGAAAAACCATCTCAGGAAATATCAGGTTGAAAAATGCTTTTACTCTCTACATGAGTTTTTTTAACACATGATAGTATCTGTTTTTTAATTCTGTTAAGCTGTTAATCACTTCGTTATCAGTGAATTGTCTATTATCGTGGAGTAAATTTATTTTAATTTCACTTTTTATTCGTGCTTTAACGATACTATCGATGACTTCTTTTGAGCTTTTAACCATTTTTCTTCACTGCTCGATGTTTATTGTGTTTATATATTATGTATTTCTAACAGATTCTCCTACCGTTTTTCTATGTATCAGCTTCAATGATTTTTACCGGCTAGATGAACACATACCGATTCTTGCGCTGTTCCTATATTGTGCTTTAACCTGTTGAAATATTTTGTAATTGTAATGTCCTTATTTATTTTATATATATATATATATATATATAGGTGAAAAATTAAAGCTTCCGCCTTTTGTTGGGTACTTCGACAAAATTTAAGCAAAGAGGACTCTTTATACTTTTTTTAATTCTCTCCAGCTTTCAATGGACTTTGCCATCATCATCAGGAGCTGCAATTACAATGAAAACAGTAGCAACAAAAGTGTAAAATGAATTTAAATTGACTCAACTTACAGTAGTTTGTGAGGATGTTGCTAATTGTTGTTTACGTATAGGATGAGGGAAACGTCCAGTAACATGGTGAGAGCTGGATAGATTGTACAATGGTCAAAATTATATAAAATATGACAAGAACAAGTTAAAAACAGATTAAAAATTATTTAAAAAACATTAGAGCATTACATCGTGAAGCCACTTGATGATTGCACAAATTAGTGGTCATGGAATAATGAGTGAGATGACACCCTTTGACAGAAGGCTGAAGGATGTCAATGTCTGTGTTGAAAGATGGAACGAATTGTGGGCGTGTGCCAAACGTTGCAACACAGACATTGACATCCTTCAGCCTTCTGTCAAAGGGTGTCATCTCACTCATTATTCCATGACCACTAATTTGTGCAATCATCAAGTGGCTTCACGATGTAATGCTCTAATGTTTTTTAAATAATTTTTAATCTGTTTTTAACTTGTTCTTGTCATATTTTATATAATTTTGACCATTGTACAATCTATCCAGCTCTCACCATGTTACTGGACGTTTCCCTCATCCTATACGTAAACAACAATTAGCAACATCCTCACATACTACTGTAAGTTGAGTCAATTTAAATTCATTTTACACTTTTGTTGCTACTGTTATCATTGTAATTGCAGCTCCTGATGATGATGGCAAAGTCCATTGAAAGCTAGAGAGAATTAAAAAAAGTATAAAGAGTCCTCTTTGCTTAAATTTTGTCGAAGTACCCAACAAAAGGCGGAAGCTTTAATTTTTCACCTAACTGGTCTAGACGACAATGACCACGTCTCAAGTTATATATATATATATAAGTATTTTTCCGGCATATTTGCTCAAACGCATATATGACTCTCAAATTCATCATGTAACATGATCTAATAGGACAATAAACTGTATATCTATCTATCTATCTAAACATGGCCATTGTTAGTAGTCTTAAGTTTTGTGTTGTCAGGGAGAAGGTTAGGTATTTTGTGATAAGTTATCATCAGTTCTATTTATGATTAGATGTTCTCGATTTTTCTAGAAATTAAATGTTCACGTGTTATTAGGGTATAAAAAGGAATATGGGGTTACGTGATTTTTGGAAGTTTTGAGAGAACAAAAAGTGAAGACTTGCGAAGTATTTCATTTCAAGCTCAAGAAGAAGAGACATTTTTTTACAATATCGAGAGTTAAATGCACTAAGGATATTTAAAAACGTATATTTAGTAACAGAAGAGGGTAAATGTATACAGGATGATCCGAAAACAGTAGTGATATAATTATATATAGGGCAGAAGGTAGGTAAAAAAATAAAACGAAAAGTTCCTATAAATATGGGATCTATAATGCTTCATCACCGAAATACAGGGTTGCTGAAGCTATATTTGTAAAATAAAAAAAAACGTAACTCCGGACTTAAACATGTAATGCCAACAGCATACCTAGCTAATAGGTCTATGAAGTTATCTCAAAAAAAAAACGGGGGCTAGACATTTATTCATACCATTCGTTTGCCCATCATATGTCCATATTTGTTTACCAATTTGTCTACCGTTCGTATTCTCCTAAGATAAAAAAAAATAGATTTTGGGCCTAACTTCATGCAGCCCGAAAACTTTCGAATACTAAAAAATCGTTTTGATCGCATGTTTCACCATCATTATTCCACATTTGTCCACCATTTAGTTTCATTTGTCCACTTTTGATTTAGGTGAAGATGGAAAAAAGATCGGTCCACACAGACCTCAAAAGAAAATCATTTGTTGGGAATAAAACTAGTTCTGAATATTTGCTTACCGTTGAAGCACATAAAACACCCACTGAGTTAATTAAAGCAACCCTTTGGAACCTACAAATATGTTTCTTAGAGGAATTGAATATGGAGCTAACTACACACCGCTACAGAATCGC